GTAGCAGTGCAGGGGGGTGTTGTGACCCAAGTGCAGGACCTGGCACTTGGCCTTGTTGAGCCTCATACAGCTGGCCTTGGCCCAAAGATCTAGCCTGTCCAGATCCTTCTGTAGAGCCTCCCTACCCTCCATCATGAGGGTTTTAAAAAAAATTCCTTAAATGAAGAAACATTCCTATGTAACTATTACGAATTACCTTCTGCCCTGATGGGTATGTCATCCATGAACAACTAATATCCCGCAGAAATTAAAACTGGGATTACAAAGGAAAAGGAAATGGCATCAAGAGTTTCTTTCAGAACCTTCTCCAGCAGTAGAAATAACAGAGAATCTCTTGATTATGTGGTAGTTTTATGTAAGATATAAAACCAGACAGAAAGGGTAGGAAGGAGAAACTTAATCACGAAAAGGAGAAAAGAGAAACACAGCTGTAAGAAGATTTGTTAAAGGAATAATTTTAAGAAATAGGAGCTAATAAAGAGAAAGGAAGGAATTACGGCAAAAGTGATCTTGAAGGTTAGCTACGTTGTGGTCGCTGCTTCAAAACACACTGTTCCTCCAGTTGTCTTCAGAAAGTCACTGCACTTAGATAGAATTCTAGAGCCATGCACACCTCTAGTAATTTCACACATTTGGTAAATGCCAAATGATCTATGTAATATTAAATAATGTGCACATTCTAACAAATGTCAATGCACTTAAAATCTCACTTCACACTCTGTGGCACTGAAATTTAATGAGTTGCAGCAAGGAGACCTTAGCCAGTCTCATCCAGGAAGAGAAACTGAACAGAACACAAGCCAAGTACAAATGCACTGACGTATATGGGCACCCCAAGAAGTCACAGGACCTAAAAATACGTACATAAAAATATTTAAGAAGAAAAACTCAAAGCACAAAGGGGAGAAATGATCTGTTGGATAAAGACCCCTTCTAACCTCTAACATTCTGTGATTCTGTGATAACAAAGACCATAGTGACTTAGGAAAGAAGCTTCTGGTAAAAAGTTGTCATGACTGATAACTGTCAGAGACAATTGTAGCAGCAGCTTAATTGAGCGTAGATGCTGCTTTGCACATCGTATGCTTTGCTTGTATCAAATTCAAGGTGAAACATATTACAGTACTTATCTATTTTATAAAAATGTACAGTGTATCAAAAAAAAATCTTCCATACTTCAACGGCTCAAGTACATGGCTGTGAGTTCACTGAACCTGTTTTCAATTTACAGAGTAATCCCACAGTACCAGGTACAACACCCATACATATATTCATGATTCATTTAACAAACACAGTACAGTTCAGGAGTGCTATAAAAAAATCCCTTTGCTATCACTTGATAAATATGATACTTAACGTTAAATGTTAAAATTAATGAGAACATTAATAGTAGTGTTCTGGTCTTACATCTTTATGCCTTAGAAATGCTTCAATATATATGTTTTCTCATCAAAATTACAGTATAGATCTATGCAAGTATAAGACATATGCTCACTTACAATATACCTATGCAGACATTTATATGTATTTTTAACATGAATTTTGTACAGACATATATATTCCAGTGCTTTGCTGAGATAAAAAAAAATTCTTTAACAGCAGCTGAAACATTTACTAGTTCTTTTTTAACACATTTCATTAAAAAAGTATTTTAGATTTCAATTTAATGCTAACAGCAGTGTAACACAAACACTGCTGCACCACATCTGAATTAAAATATACCTGCTTCTACACGAATTGGTTTCTCCAGGAGAAAAACTGTCTGTTTCCAGTGTGTTTTGGTACACTGGGGACCAGTTGAAAACAAGACCTGCAATGGAAGAGTTCAAGAGTTTGATTAAGAACAACATATTTGATATCACATCACATCAATCAGCTACCAAACACACAGGCACACGAGGTGTTTGCCACAAAACAGACTCACTGCCAAGCATCTCGAGGCAGAATAAATACAAAACCACCCGCATCTCTCAAAGATATTTTGGGAATGCAAAGCCCCAAATCCTCACCTTGTTGTGACAGTTCTTCTGAAAAAGTATATCAAAGTAACCAGCAACTGCCTACAAAAAAACGCAACAAACCAACAAATACATTAATAATAGTGACTACATTAATAATAGTGACATGTAAGAAAGTCTGTCATTAATATATACATTTAGCAGGATTTCGACTCCTTTTCAAGCACTAAGCTTAGATTTATGCTTTTAAGCATGACAGAAATTCCAAGTAAAAAAAATCCTGTCATCACACACTTGTTCGACTTGTGAATATTCAGCCCACTATAACTTTGAGTCTGAGTTTCCAAGACGATCCACACATTTTAAACTGCAACTAGAATTACGTACGAGAAAACAGCCTTTCAGACGTGCAAATCCACAAGCATAAAATTCAGTCCTTGTCCTCTATGACTCTCACTAAATATCCACCCAGTACTGGGGATTCTGCACAATGAGTTATTTTACTTAACGCTATCCTCCACAAAAGTTCCCTGTAAACAGAGGCAGAAGATTAACGAGGCAGGGAATGTTTTTCTTCCTGTACTACACACACAGATAAGGAAAAAGATTCACAAACACTTCATGCCGGTCTTTCCAGTAGTTAATGGTTTCTAATAGTAATTCTCCACAGGATTCCTTGGAACTGTTCTTCTGTCCCTCCTGCTATACCACTCCTAACCTCACAAAGAGCCTCTCTAATCAGTTCATAATTCATTAATGTGATTTTTCTTCCAGATCAAAGATGAAAAGAAATACAAAAAGTCTGCACACAAAACAGCATACCGACACTATTACTTACACAGTCTTTTAATCGTGGCCTGCTTTTTTGACAAAAAAGTCTTATGGGAATCCCAGATATTCAAAGAATTTAAGTCAAGAACTAAAAGATGCGAATAAGAGACCATCCAGTCCATAGCTGCACCTCTGAAACCCTGTCCATGTTCACCTTTATTTGCTTTCAACTGCCTCCTATGACAAGGCTAAAGCGAATAAGACGTGGGCCCAAGGTACTTCTCTATTACATGTCAGCCTGAAGAAATGTCTGGGAATAGAGCTTCCGAGTTACTCCAGCTGAAGCAGTTGGGGACTCTACACCCGTGACAGCAGGAAGAGATTCTCCCCACAGCAGGTCTAGCGCAGTCAAACAAGATACACACCAGTTCAATGACGACAAGCCCATTGCAAGAAAACTCACTGCAAACACCCAGCTATAACTTTCCTCTCACAACATCAGTGTTTGTCTCCTTCTCTAAGTCTAGGACGCAGGTTCTTCTGCATAGTCACAAAGGACGAGTTCTGTAGCATGACCCTCATATTGACTCAGAAATAGGGAAGGGAAAAAAGTCAGACATGCTTACAAAATTAAGGTACCAACTGAATGGCACAGGGCCTTATCATTATGAAATACATAATCTGAATGCTAGATAAACCATTCTGGTATTTTTTAGTCCATAGTCTAAATCCAGAACAGATTTTACCAACGTAGTAGTACCTTAAAGAAAGTAAGTCTATATTAAAGCACCTGTGTTGGCTTTTCAACCTAAGATCTCTCCAGATAAACACGGAAAGTTCCAAATTCTGATTTAGGTAAACTTTCTTTTTAAAGAAAAAAACCCAAACAACACCAACTGAAAAAAAAAAGCCCAAGGAGACACCGAGAAACCTTTGTGACAAATGAGAACTAGACGCTGGAAATGGTGACTCTTCCATCCCTTTACTTAGTCCTATCACTCAATGCTGAGCATCTCATTGCCAAATGAATTCCAGCCTTGTCTCTAATCTGCCTTTTTGAGTAAAGATTGAGAAGGTCTTGACAAAGCTTTATTGACCATCAGACTGTATTTTTATTGATGCACAATCTTTTCTGGACATTAGTCATAAAAATATTTTTCAACCATCAGGTCAATACTGTTGATACACTTACAAATAGCACCTTGGAAAAAATTGGTTTCCTGAGAAAATGAGACAAACCATGTTCTGGGCCAGAAAGCTGAAAACTCCAAGCAGGCATACCATAGCTAAGGTGGATGCAACTTTCTTGGTAGTAGGAAGTAAAAGAAACACCCCACATACCACTCTGAGAAAACATCCCTAGATTAGCATTTTGAGGGGATCAAGGCTGAAAGGAAACTGCAGTTACAAGCAAGAAGCTGTCCTGTGCCTTCTCCCGTGCTCAGGGAAACAGGATTTGTACACCTTCTGTAAATGAGTAGAATAAACACCTTATTCGCTATACCATCAATGGTTTCCCTAGCTGAAACAACCTGAAACACTAACTTGGACTATCTAAATCAAGAGGTAGCAACAGTTACTATTATACATCACAAAGACCACCTTCTGCAGAACTCCAAGGATTACAGAGGAAACCTTCCTTGAAAGCTATGAAAAAACAGATTTTTGAATGCGTTACAGAAGCCTGTTTCAATACTCCCAGATACAAGTGCTAAAAACACTGAACCAAAACACATGCCCTCAAGGGGCATCAGTGTAAACCTCGTACCACTACAGAAATGTTCTGGTACCCCACACTGATGTCTTGGGAAAAGAATAAACAAGAGCCAGTAAAGGACACACAAATTATGACTTTTGACAAGAGCCTGTAGTGATAGGATGAGGGGAATGGGTGGAAGCTGGAAGAGCATAGCTTTAGACTAGATCTAAGGAAGAAGTTCTTCACCCTGAGGGTGGTGAGGCACTGGCACAGGTTGCCCAGAGAGGTTGTGGATGCTCCATGCCTGGAAGTGTTCAAGGCCAGGCTGGACCGAGCCTTGAGCAACCTGGTGTGGTGGGAGGAGTCCCTGCCATGGCAGGAGTTGGAACTAGATGATCCTTGAGGTCCCTTCCAACCCAAATGATTCTATGATTCTGTGATGCTTTCTATAGTTTCATCTACAATCAATAGTCGTGTATATTCAAAAACAAAATCACAAATCTAAAAAGCTACACAAATCAAAGCCGAAATACCTGATAGTATTAAGCCAGTTATAATATCATAGCTTAGGTTACTATCCTCTTTTTAGGAATTTTGTCTTCCCTTATATCTTACCTTTTTTTTCCCCACTACTTGTTAGTGGTTTTAGTCTGAAGTGCACAATATGTATCTTCTATATTTAAGCATGTTTCAGTGAAATAATACTGGAAAAGTGAAGTTCAAAACATTTTCCTTACATTTCACTTTGGAACACTACCACAAATTGCAGTAGCTGTAACAGTCAACCACAAACTTGTATTAAATTGCCATACTACAAAGACATTTCCAACATTTACAGCTTGCAGGAAGATTAAGTCCTCCCTTCTTCTTGTAAAATTTAACACGCGACTAAGTAGAAAAAAAAAGAAAAAAAAAATCACAAGTGGCAAATTAGAAGCATTCACAGACACAAGCACATTAAAATGGAACATGGGGGTGATTTTTATTAAGTATGGCATCTTTTTTACACGGAGTCAAACTAAAAAAAAAAAAAAAGAACAAGCAAATAACATTCCCATAAATTCTAGATGTTGTTTTAAAACTACTGCCCTGGTTGGTATTTTTTGTTTGGTTGCGTTTGTTCAGCTTTTTTAAGCATAATGTAACAGTCATTTCTTTCATCACAGTTTTCCGCATCTTTTTTGCTCCACCTTTGACAGTTAATTTACAACTTCACCAATAACTAATCAGCAAGAACTTAAGCCTTCTCTGGAAGAATCTTTCAATTGCCAGTCTCTTTAATACTATGACAGAAGAAAACAAAAATAATGACTATCTAAACTGGTAATAAATAACTGCAACTCTAGCCTGACACAAGCTCTAGCTTCAAAAGATGTTAAATACTAGGAAACACTCCAGAAATATTATTCTTCCTGTTCTCAAATAAATTCCTAGGAGAAAAGCAGAGCTATGAGAGCAAAAACTCCAACCCTAGAATAAAGTCTCCATATTTACTCAGGGAGCTAAGATTAAATAAAGAACAAAAATTAGGAATGGATGTACAGCAGTGAGACCGCAAAGCATCATCCCATAAAGGTCAACAAAGAGTTTATCCAACTAAGAATAAAATATTCCTGAAATTACAATAGCAGCCACTAACCTCTACCTGATTTTGTCATATCCAGATTTTCACAAAGACGTTGTGTAAAGTAGCTTAAGCTCTTCAAACATCACTGAATGTTTTTAAGGTGTTCATGCAAACACACAAAAAACCCGTAAATGAAGCAGGTCCTCCCAGTAAGATTCACTTGTTTTCAACATATTTTTCCTCCCTCTCAGATTAATTAGTTTGAGCCTATTTTTTCCCCCATTTATTCATGTAACACAAACCAAATTTACTAAGATTACAAAAGCTTTAACACATGTAATAGATGAATATTAGTACATATTATTTATATTCTTCCACTTAAAGCCTTCAGCTGAAATGGGAAAGAGGAGTCTAAATTTTAATTCAAATTTATCTGAATGCTAAGGCTTTTTTCTAAAGAAAATGGCTGGCTGTACTCACAGCATTTTAACAGGATGAAACAAATGAGACTGCTCGACTCCTTATGAGAACTCGTAAAGGCAGCTTTCCCAATTCACTTAGGAACAAGGAAATTAAAAATTATCATCATCGCTATCACCTACAGTGAGTGATTTATCATTCTTAGTCTTCACTAGTATCATGTTCCAACAGTGAGTGGCTACAACAAATACAATTAGACAGCTGGCCACAGAAGTGGGAGATAATGTGCTTTTGATGGAGTTCATCCAAGCATGGAGATGGAATGTTTGTCATCCACGCAGCAGAGTTGCTGCGTTTTTATCACAGGGAAAAGAAACCCCTCGGTATTAAAATCTAGCAATTTTGTGGTTTAAGAAGATTAAGAATCTGGAGATCACTGTAAAGGAGTGTACCAGTAACTAAATAGATGAGAAAGAAAAAGCCTTTCCTTGAAACAGAAATTGAGCATTCAAGGTGTGTTAAAGTGTGGTACTCGAAGCCAGACTTCCAACTTTTAGCTTAAAAAAAAAAAATTTAGCTTCTTCCCTAAGGCTGGAATTAAAGACTTATATGCTAATACTCACTGTTGGCTCCCAAGTGGAAGACCAGACATTACGAAATGAAAACTGTCTAGCATTTAAGATTTTAACAAGCAAAGACTTGTCCTTCGTCAAAATAATTTTCTCCAGACAACTCAACTTCCTTTTTCCTCCTAAAGGTTTTAATACAGAAGTCACGTCCTCTGGTTCATTATCCTTTCTTCACTCCCTTCCTCCCTCCCACTTTTTTATACACATCCCCTGCTCTTTGACAAGATCTCCTGGGAGCAATGATGAGATACTGCCATCTTCCTCCCAGGGGATCTGGCTATTCAGCTAGGAAAGATCAACCTTGATGGACTCACAGGGGAAACGCTGGCAAACAAGAGAGAAAGTTTGTCAATTGATTTCTACACCGAGGGTAATCACCATCATATTTTATCTCAAAAGCTCATACAGTGATCAACTTACAATACAATTAATGGAATATTTTCCTAGCAGCATCTACTAACTGATATTAGCCAGATGTCTCATTAACATCAGCAGTGACAAACCCTTGCTCTTTACTGGGAAAACGCACTTTTGCAGGCTAATTAAATTTATTTTTGGCCATTATCTTTGTAAGACTGAAATCAAGTCAACTTGCACTAAGAGTGCCTTGAAACAATTTCATATAATGATTCCACGCAACCGTTTGATGCTTTGAAAATCTTTAACCTTTGAAAGTTAAAATAATGATAAATAAACTTAATGCTAAAATACACTACTTTGTGGTAAACCACAGGAGGAATATAAGAAAAAAGAGAAAGAATGTGCTCTGACAAAAACATTGACTTCCCACCAAAAACTTCTGTAAGACTACACATCACAAAGATACATTTAAAATGTTTATTTTTGCCTAAACTCTCCAAATTTCTCGGGTTTGTTAGGATTTTCTTTTTCTTTAAGACTTATTTAATTGCTTGAGCAGCTATAAAAGAACTCTATTTAGAGTATTAGGCATAGTTTTAAGGATAGAACTCAATAAACACATTATAGGATCATGTGCAATACATATACGATGCACCTATAGAGAGAAATCAGGCTGATCTCTTATGAGTATTGCTTAATACGGTGGTTTTTTGGTCATAAAAAAGTGAGTAATTTAAAATAATTTACAGGTGGAACAACAGACAAATCAGGTATGTGTCTATTAACACTATGCTCTTAGGTTTCACTAACTGCACAATTTTTCTATTTCGCACAAGCTCATCACTAAGTCTGTGTGTTTATGTCCTCAGTCCATTTAACCAGAAAACAAGTTCCTCTACTGCCTACTGGACAGGTAGTTTTCAACAACCTCAAGTACAATTCAAGTGGCACTATTATACAACCAGATAATTAGCCAAGAGGTCAGCAAGAAGGCCTTCCAAGAGCAAGAGCAGCAGTAATATCCATCAAGAGGAGGAATATCTATCTCAATACCTGCATTTTCAGTTTTCAGGAAGTAAATGGTAAATTTTTATCAGAAAAAAATGCAAGACCAGAAATGAAGTACGGGGAAGTCAAGAAGAGGTCAACTTTTCCAAGACTGAAAATGAACACCATTTCTAACAGTATCTACTGAAGGGGAAAACAAAAAAAGCCTGAGGAAAACACAGAGGTCAGATTTTAGAGGTATTGAACGTTGTGCCATAGATAAGAGAAGTGAAGCCCCTTCTGCCTGAGCGGTCCTGGGGGTATTCCAAGTCATAATCAAACCAAACACGGTGATGAGCTGGTGAAAAGACAGCATTACAGCCCCTGACAGCTTTTAGAACTTACTGTCCTGTTACCAGAGAAGTGCAAACAGGCTGGTGGGAGGATGCAACAGACCCAACACGGGCAGTGCCTCCAGTTGTCAGCTGGAAGTTCAGCACTTCAGCCATTAATGTTCTGTTGCACACTCCAAGGAGATGAGGCCACAACTGTTTTCTGTGGAGTACTTGCTAATTGACTTCCCACCAGCGCTAAGCTTCTGTAAACCCAAGTTCAGCAACAGCAACCACGCATTCCGTGCTGTGGACACGTTTCCAGGTGTCTGGAAAGAACGCCTGCCCGACACCCCTCTGCACCTGCGCAGAGCCTTGCCAAGGAGCAGCACGGAAACGCACTCCCCATAACCCCACGGCACAGAGTAAATCAGCAGTCGAGCTGCAATAGACTCCGCAAAAAAACCCACAGCACCGTGCACCTCAGCTTTCCACTTGTTTGGTTTTTAAAGAATTGAGAGAGGGAGGCCTAGTTCTGATGGTAACGCTGGTGTGAAGTTCGCTTGGCTGTCGACAGCAGCATTAGAAATAAGACAGCCAAATCTGTTTTCATACATTTATGGCAGAGAAAGGGCTGAGAAGAAGCTGCCTCAAAATGAACCGTAGGCTGTGAGCTAAAAACATCCATTAAACACCAGTATGCAAGGATGGATTTCCAAGTTGTTATTTTCGTAAATAAGGAAAAATATTTTTAAATGCCCATATTTAAAAAAATCACAAAAATAAGAATAGTCAAGTACAAAAAGCTAGAATTTTTGGAAATATAAGAAGGTTTCTCTTTTTGTGCAAAACATGAAAAGCCAGTAGAACAACAAAACATAAACAAGAAAAACATCAAATGTTATTTTCATAGGACAAATTGCAATCCTAAAGCATCTCTTCAAAAATTCTCAGTATAAATAATGGACTTTTATTGTTCATTTACTGCAAGGTTAGGCAGCCTGATATGATGGATGAACTGTCAACCCCCAACTAAACTTCTACAATCCATCACAGAAAGAGTGGAAATTTCACTCAAAGTGTCAATAAACCTAAATGATGAAGTGCAAAATACTTTACAGAGTTCTGATCATTTTTTAGAAGCTGCATTAACTGCAAAATTTCTTCCCCCCAATTCCCTCTCCTTCTAAGTCATAAAATGCAGGTGTACATCTTGATTTGTAAGTTAACGATACCATGGCACCATCAAACAGAAATAAAGTTTTCAAAAAGGTCTAGTCATAGGGATTATGACATTTACAAAATAACCTGTTTTACTCTACCCAAATATTAAAAAGATCAGCAAGATTTTGTAAAGATTTCTGTTTAAATTAATCAGTTGTTCAAAAATGGCTATACAAACAAAAAAATTAACCCAGGGCTGCCACTCGAGCTTGGCCTGAAATCAGAACTGACCCTGCCCTGAGAGAGGCAACCAGAAATATTCTAGGATTCTATCACAACTAAAACGAGGAGATTTTTCTCTGTGAATGCACAATAAAATATATATTTTCCATTTACTATTCCAATTTACATTTAATAAATCCCAAGAGATTACTATGTCTTTACTTAATTGGTGACAATTGACAAATTATGAAGTATTTGTACATAGCTACTAATACTACATAACTAATAACAATGCTTTAACTTATATACGTGGGAAAATTTCACTTTATAGCATCAACAAATTCTTATGCATCCTGTTATAGCTCAAAAAGTGGTGCCATATGCAGTAATGTGAAAACACAGATCGATCCAAAAAACAGGTATTACACTGCTTGATGTAGACATCCAAGATTGTGTTTTCAGCTTAAACATTTATATTATACAGCAACATATTTTTTATGTCTGTATCAGACAAAGTCTGCATCTCTTCCTCATAAACATATGTGAAAGTCAAATAAACCAGTTGTAGCAGACTTAGCACAATATATTAAAAATTAGCTACCAATTACCCCTTTGGACTTGACTCTGTGATGTGCTGTGACTTAAAGCTAAGCATGAAACTCCCAGCAGAAGTATCACAATACACTAGACTACAAAAACTTTAGTTTTCACTGTAGATCTCAGAGTCTAAGACAAACTTTTTGTCAAATTTGATAGGGATATTTTAATATCAACCTGTAAGAAACAATTGTAATTGATGCTGAATGTAAAACTCTAATGTTAATGCTCCTTACCCTTCCCTTTTTTCATCTACCCCTATTATATTGTGATGCTGTTACGGGACTTCTCCATCCATCTCTCTTTACAAAATGGCTCCTGCGACACTTCTGTGCTGCAGAAATTAATGTTTCAAGGCAAGGACTGATGATAAACGATCCTTAATCCATTGTCCATTAGTTCAATGTGATACTGAACATATATGAAGAAGCTAAAATTGTCTTACCGTACACTTTGTGCTCGTTGTAATGGTCAGGGTGAAATCTGAAGAGAATTCTAAGTCCGGAGTGGATGCAGTATTACAGTCAATATGCTGTTGAAAGGAATAATACAATTCTGTCAGTAACAGTGCTGAATTTAAATTAAGATTTTCCTTTGGACGAAGGTTGTACTGTTGCTGCCACAATAAGACAACTTGTCTAAGGCAATATTAATTCAGCTCTCCAGAAACAGGAAGGGCCACCTAATCCTATCCACATGCTGACAAAACACCTACAACCCCCCTTGCCCAAATGCCAAAATACATCAGACACTATGACTAGAAGCGAGTTTTATGGAACTAGATGTAGCAGCTCACCCCATTCAAGTGAGCTGCTCTTGATGGCAGCTGCCCACTGCTAAAATTAAAGAGCTTTTACAGGCACCTTGACCTTTTTCACTCCTTGTTCCCGTAGTCATGTGGTAAAGTACACTATGAAAATGATGTGGGTTAAAACTGGGCTTTTTTATTTGCCGGGTTAGTTTTGTACTGATCAAAGAATAGCTGAGGTTGAAAGGGACATGTAGAGATCACTTAGTCCAACACCCAGCTCAAAGTAGGGTCAGCTAAAGTGGGTTGCTCAGGACCATGGCCAAGCAGCTTTTGAGTATCTCCAAGGATGGAGACTCCACAATCTCTCTGGGCAACCTGTGCTACAGTTCAATTGTCCTCACAGTAAAACAGTGGTTTTCCCGATGTTTGAAGGCAACTGCCTGAAGTTCAATCTGTGTCATTGCTTCTTGTCCCGTCCCTGAGCATCACTGAGAAGAGTCTGGCTCCACCTCCTTTACTCGCCCCCATCCCCAGGCACTTATACACATGGGTAAGATTGCCCACAAGCCTTCTCTTCTCCAGACAAAACCACCTCAGCTCTTTCAGCCACTCCCTTATGTCACACATGCTCAAGTCCCTTCATCACCTTTGTAGTCTTTCACTGCACTTACTGCAGTACATTCATCTCACTCTTGGACTGGGGAACCCAGGACTGGGCACAGCAACCCAGAAGTCATCTCCCTGTGGTGCAAGATGCTTCTCTTCCGAGCTGCTGGTGACAAGTCTTCTTCCTAAGGCAGCCCAGGAGCCTGGTTGGCTGCCTTTGCCACAAGGGTGTGTGTTCCCAGCTCATGATCAACTTGGTGTTGACCAGAACCCCCAAATTTTTCTCTGCAAGGCTGCTTTCCAGTAGTAGGTCCCCAGACTCAGTTGATGTGTGAGATTATATTTTCATCCTCTCTGCAGGATTTTGCATTGCCCATGGGTTGCCCTGGGCCTTTTGCACAGGAACCCAGATGGCTCATTTCTCCAGCCTACAGAGGTCCTTCTGAACAGCAGCACAATCACGTGATGTGTCAGTATGTGAAACACCAGTGACAACAGAGGAGAAAAAGCACACAAGGCAAAGAACTCCTTTGCTATTTGGAAATCAGCACAAAACAACAGCATTCAGAAAAATGACAACACTGTCAAATCAAATTGCAACTTGCATTTCAATATTCTCTCTATATATATATGCATGAGAGTTTTAAAAGCAGTAAGGTTCAGTTTTCGGTTGCTTATAAAAATTCCACCATATTTTTTCAACATATGAAGTTCTTATTTTAAATACTCAAGTTAAAATGCTTTACCCAAGAACATTGCATACCGCTGAAATGAAATGTCACATACATCATTAATCAACATTTCTTGATGGTGCCTCATCTTTCTTTAGGGAGTGTTTTGCTTCCTGATAGATTACCTTACAAACCATACAAAACAAGCAGCAGCTCATCCGAGCAAACATGCTAAAATACCTTCTCTAATAATTATATGATAAATTGGAAGATTTTTAAGCTTTCTCTCAAAAATATAATCCATTTGTTCTGTGGAATGGCTATTGATTAGAACAATTTACCAATAATGCCACTGTTGCTCCACTCATTAATTTCACTACTTTGTACTGCAACTCCAGCAAATGAGCTCATGCATTGACTTGAGGTTATTTTGAAAACCATGATTGTGACTGAGAACGAAACCACTAAGCTTAACAGTTATGCGAAACGCTGCATGATGGCAAGATTTGCTACATGCACACACCTGAGCTGGACACTGACTGCTCATGAGAGTTTGTATTAGGGAGGGAGATGTACTATCACCAACAAAGGATTTTGCTTCTAAGATGACAGCAGCTTGAGACTGCATTGGGCACATTTAACTATTACTGTTATCAACACTTTCCAGGTTAAGATGTTGGTTTCATTTATTTGTTTGTCTAACAAACTGACAGAGCTCAACTCACCCATGTAGCTGTTCATTCAGAGCATGTTCTATGTTCTTCATTTTCTGTATACCAAACTCAACTTATCTGTATAAAGTATTCAACTACACTTCCACTTGAAGCAGAGCATGCAAAATGTTATTAAAAAAAAGGCAGGTGAAAAAGCACCTATGCCTCAGTCACTGCACAATCAAACCTGTCAGATGGCTAACACAGCCTCAGATTCCTCATCTTGGTACTTCCGTTTTGTGCACATTCATTCACTACGCAGAGAACTCATCTCGCCTATAACTTCAGTTCTGAAAAGTGTATTTTTAACAACCATGTTCATCACTCTACCCTTTCCTTACACTCAAGGAAAACAGACACTCATAAGCCTCACCTCACTACTTAGAGGTGTCCTTAGGAATTTAGTAAGTACAGTACCTTAATGACACTGGGTGTAGATATCAGTGTGTCTGGATCCAGCACCTCCACAACAGCTTCTGGAATTACAGCCTTCTTCATGCAAGACATGTCAAAACCGTACACATCTTCCCAGAAAAGTAGCTTGTCTGCATGTTTATTCATATCCCCAACAGCTACCAGACTAATGGTGCAAACGTCAGGATAAACTGTAATAACAGAAGCAGATTAACAAAATTTTATTTTAGACATTCATAGAGGACTTCATCGGAACTTAATTTTCCCCACACTATTCTGGTAACTGTATTTCCTGCTCATGACAAAATATCTTTGTAGTTGATTCCCACTGTCAGGAAATTACTTGAAACTTGACGTCTCAAGAAAATAATCTGGAATATCCTACTCTGGCATATACAGAGACTGACTGAGAATGATTTGGGTAACTGCAGACAGACACGCAAAGGAAAATTTGGGTGAAGGGTTTTCAGTACAAAAAACCTCTGTGGAAAGACCTTTTTTCCAGAAAAGAGCAAATGTTCTTATTCAGGAGCTTTATTTCTTATCAGCTCTGGCTGGTACTTGCCTTACAACCTAAAAAATTATTTCTGAGTACTGGAAAAGAATAACCAGGATAACAGCTATCACTCATGCTTTCTTCTCCTTTGTGCTTTTTCCGTTCTCTCAAGAATATCTTGAGAACAAATATCTATTTACAGCTTTTCCAAATAGTAGTGGAAGACTGACACTTGCCTTTTTAACAGCTGCCTACAGCAAAGGCAGTCAATCTCTTGGCAATCTCTACGCACTACTGATTGGAAAAGACACAAAGAACAGCTGCTGTGAACGTGGCTGTCTATAGCACTATCAAACTCCAGAAGCTCAATTTAGATTTAGCTCGGTTTCCTTCCACAAAGAAATTCCCATACTTTGTTTTTGAAGTTTTAAAGCCTTTTAAGTCACATATGTTGAATTCTTTACATGGCTTCAGACCAAAAGGCCTACTAATAAACACCTTGTTTTATTGTTTCATTGATACATTAATGTGGCAGTGTTAATAAAACTGAAGCTAAGTTTCTTTTCTTCTCCAAAATCTGTTGAAGTGTAAAATTAATTTTGTCTTCCTCTGCTTCAGCTTGTAGCATATCAAAATGAGCAAGGAGAAATCATTGGTGTAGTATGGCAAGTCAGAAAAGCAGAGCTGTTTGCCTTGTAAAACACTGAAGACAGAAACAGCAAATTGAAGTTAGACCTCTTATATAGTAAGAGTAGATTTAGCCACAAGGAAATAATCTTACACATAGCAGTGATAGAATCCTCTCTAAAGATTTTTTTTTTTCCTCCCATAAGACAACGTTACATTTGGAATGACTAGCTCATACTACATATGAACACACTTAGCCATATCTCTCACTTTTTGGGTGCATAATCAATTATCCAGAGTGTTTAAGAACAAGAAAAAACAAACACTAATGCTCAAATCTAATTTGCACTTTTAGTCTGGCCATTCAATAGCAACAAAAAACTAGACAACACCTATTCAGACTTCACAAAAATAAAGCTGTGTTCCATCAGAAAGGCACAGACAAAAGACCACAGTGATACATTAACTTCTAAATTCACAAACCCACCCACGTCCAGAAATATACACTTTAAGGAAATTTGACTGGAAATATAAGCATGTTAGCTAAGTATCAGTCTAAATAATCTAAGCACTGCAGAGTTTTGTAAATGTTTATAAAAGCTTCTGCTTAAAATTGCATTTCCCACTTCACCCATTATTGTCGATCCCCCTGGAAACCCTTTGCACTTTCTGCAATCCTGTAACAATTTCTTGCACCATCCTGACAGACTTCTCATTTTTTTCTGCTATTAAGCCTATAATGTAGTAATTAGTCCTTCTCACAGGTGAAATGAACAAAATGCTGATCAGACAAAAGCACATATTCCTCAGTGCTCTCAGAGATTCATCGTTTTGACCATCTGTGTCCTTCTCGACTCAGTGCCCAGAAGTCATCTGTCACGAGTAACAGCTCACGTGGTGAACAGGATACAACGGGAAATCCTTTATCCCTCAGCAACGCCTCGCAAACTTCGGGTCGCTGGAGGGTAAGGCAGCAATCCTCCAGATATACAGAAATAATGCCAGGTGAATACCAGCACCATTTTGACATTAACAAGCAAACGGTCTTGTTTTCTGAATGAGGCCTTCCTTAACTACATCACCCCTCAAAGCACGCTGCACTTGAGTGTACATGAAAAACTACACTCAGGCAAGTGACAGCTCTAAAGAACCAACAGATGGGTCCCGGGCAGCAAGAATTTTATGTTCCCCAATAAAGCTATCATGTACAGTACATGTTACCCTAGATAGTTTGGCATAATCCACTTCAGCGTGCCAACAGGCTAAACTGAAGTAATGATGATATGACTGACTGCACACAAATGTAGACATTTGGATTCTATTCCCGGCTCAATCACTGAAAGATTTGGCCAAATTACAGCTGCTTCTCTGTTTTTTTTCCCCCAGCTTTCAAACAGTCCCTGTAAAAACCATCTTGAGCTCAAGAGCACAAAGTGGCTTAAGAGACAATTAAGCTTTATGGCAGATTCAGGAGTTTCTCTGGTAAGACTTCACCTCAGACCGAGTTCTTAGTTTTGGCTGAGCTGAATTTGGATGTGCTGCTCCTCAGCTACGCTGCACAAAGTGTCTGTCTTGCTGAGCTGGCTGCCGAAAAACTTTCTCATGGATCTTCGGCACAGCCTTCTACCTACCACACAAGCAGGCAGAAGGGCACTCCTGGGGAGCATCTTAAGGAAATAGCATTCCCTTCAAAATCTGGCCACCCCGTCAACAATACAGTGTGCTCTGTGTAGAGGCAAATCAGGGCCCAAGACCACTCTCGGAGCACAAAGGAGAAACATACTGCAGAACCAGCAAATCCAGTCGCTCAAAGGAAACTTTTGGAGGCACAGGCCACCAAAAAAATTGCCAACGATACAAATAGAGACCAAGATACTATTGCAGTTTCAATAGAGCTCAAAAATTGCTTGGCATTTCAGAAAGCTTTGCAAGTAGAAGCTAAACATAAAACGATTCTTCATAACTTATGGATATGCCTCCAAATTGAGTTATATTGTAATATTCTGTATAAATCTATACCTAGCACACCACAAACGTGTTCCAGATCTGGCTGGACTATTCTATATTGCTGAAAACAAAACAGCTCTTATTCTGTCGTGTTGTTCAAGATGCTAAATATTTTAACACATGAACACACAAATCTCTTGCTTGTGTATTCAGCTTCGTGACCAAATGTTGAACAATTGTATAAAACCTTTTTCCTGCTGCACTCCGTAGCACACAAAAGCTCACTGCAACCAAAGGGAAGCACTGCAGCGAGCACTGTTACATAGTCATTAATCCAATCATTAAGTCAGTGTAGTGAAACTAACTATGCGCACGGTTAGCAGAAAAGGGGGGAAAAAAACCCCAGACTGATGGCTACGATTGAAAAGGTCAATATGAAATACAATACTGCCAAAGGAATTAAGAGTGATGAATAAAGCGCATGCAGAACCCATGCAGAAAACTGCATCACATGAGGACAAAATATTTACAGGCATTTAAACACTGCTTAAGACGACACTATGTAAGCTACTTGAAAAGAACAAAGAACTGTATTTCAACATAAAACCCTTTTGTTCTGTCACATTCCTACCTAGACTGGTATATTCCCACCAGGATAGACTAAATATGCTGGACTGAAACAATGTAATTCCAACAGTTACTTCATGTGGCTTCTTGTGCTTGAGACTTTGTCCTCCTCACACAACTTTCAGCCCGCAGGAAAAAAATCCTGTCCACTTTTCCTACATAGTAGCTTACTCAAACAGTATCACATCTTACAGAACAGAACTTACTTTCCTCTGTTGGTAGTTATGCAGCAACTGGGATTTCAAGAGGGGAAAATAAATGCCCACATGTGTGGGAAGAAGTAGGGAGGAAAAACTTAGACTGTACTTAAGAATAAATAACTCTCTCTATTCTTAAAAATACCATTAACTCAAGACCTTGATACCCCATCTAATGTTCTTCTATTACCCACACGGTAAATTAATGCCTTGAAGCTCATACTAATGGAAACATTTTTCATTTAGACGGGCAACTTTCTCATCCATGCATAGCTTATTCTAAGCCTTCGAGTTCATTTAGTTTCCCCCCAGAGCTAAATTTATTAAAAGAATTATGCTCACCAACCTGAGCCTCCCTCTGCTAGGTACTTGTCCTTTGCATAGATGACAGAATCCAGCATTGACTCAAAGAGGAGGAAATAACCCTGTTGATAGAAAAAGGAAAGAATTTAAAAATCATTACACTTCTTCTGTAGCCTATTTAATCAATCTACAGATAGACTTTGTCAACACACAGAACTCTGTATGTTCATACACCTCAGTAAGAGCGAGAACCCAGTGAATTACTCAACAATAGCACCATCAATTCAAAACTTCAGTTACAGAAAGTATCACCTTTAATTTCCCAAGCAGGAACCTACCATCTACTGATTTAATAAACTTCAGGCAACAAATATCCAATCTACACCAACAATTACCTGATATGTCCTACAACATCAAAAGAAATAAAATTCAACTCAAACCAAGTGAAAAGCTGTATGTATTGATTTTTAAGTAATGACTCTGAGGAACCACACAAAAAACCCCTCAAACAAACAAAAACAACTAAGAAAAACCCTTCCTTCTTAGAAATGCAGGAAGAATTAAAATTATTGTCAGAGAAATACCACATGGAATGTTATCTTTGCTGCTTCCCATTTGCAACCTCATGGTGCCCTGTACCAGCCTGGGCAATGCTCACTAAGATAGGTGGAAATAAATCATATACCAAAGGCATGGAGTCTCTGGATGTTCTACATCATTTAGCAGCATCTGAACTTAAAAAAATTTTCAGGATAAAAATGGCTAGAAATATATTTCTGTATTTTTTCTGGTGTTAGGATTAGTTTTATAGCAGGTTAATCATACTGCTATAGATGGTTAGAATAACTTTTTGTCAATTTGAGTAATTTTCTGAATAAAAAAATACTCCTTAATTAACCATTTCTGAGATAATATAGCCGTGTTACATACAATAAGCAGATTTCTAAAAGAAGTGTAGCCCTTTGTTTTCCAATTGATTTACTGGTTTTACACCCTTCTTATCTTCCAAGCTTGAGTATGATCTTTATTCTCACTGAATACCGTAACACATTCCATCCACGTTCTTATGGCATCAAATCATTTCAGACAAATTATACCAGCATACATTTTGGATTTTCACTTAGCATCCTAATTCTCATTTTGCTTAGAACACAGCTCAGCCGTATGTCCTGATTTACACACCAATTGCCAGTAGGAAAGAACAAAAAAAGACAACTGGAAGTCCAGACCTTGGACCTGCAGTCCTACAAGCCCAGTCAGCAGTAACAAAAGAAACCAAAGCTAAAAAGTTTTCCTTCATCTTTCCCCAATTCCCATATTTGCACAATCACAGGGACTGTCTTTTTTTTTTAATTATTTTTCAAGTCATCACACCACAGTACTGCAGATAGACAGCACTGCATGGGACTTGCACTGCTAAGATCACCAAATTTACTTCAAGTTTATGCCATCTTGGATATTTGTTTTTCCCAAGGCTCTTCGAATAAAACAATGTTGCAAGTTCACTATTGCTTATAGACATCACCATCCACATCGCAGCCTCCTAGAACTTCAAGCCTGATTTATTTGTATTCAAACAGAACAGTCTGAAAATCAGAGAAATGCCCTTTTCTCAACCTGGCAACAGGACAGTGGTCTACCGGACGCCTTTCTTCCAAGTGTTGCCTGTTTTTCCATTTTACTGCCTAACGTCTATCAAGTTCTTAGAATTAGACCTAGAATAAAAAAATACTGCTTTGTGAGCAATATGAATTTTGGTAGACTTTGCAAAATGGTTGAAAAGGCCAGAAGCTCCAATTGCATCAGGCAAAGATAATTTTACACCTACAGCAAGCCAAAAAGCACAGAATGGAACCAGAATTTTCTTCTTTTTATTCTTATTCTTGCAGTTTTAAAAATAGAATGTGTTTAGTTCATAAAAATTCTTTTCAGGTGCTTTTAACTGCAAATGAGTTGTCACAGTATTCTAAGCGTGACCTCTAGGACACATCTTCAGTCTAGTTACCAGCAAGAGTCAGCAAGTTATAAAATGACATTTTTATGCATCAGCTCCTCACTTACTTCTTCCTGCCTAAAATGCCCATCATCTGCCAAACAACTGCAAGAAGTACAGCTGGAAGACACACCTTCTCATGAGAAATACAGTTAAATTCTCACCGTCCTTTCCCTGACCTTTCCACTCCGGCACCGCTGGCTCTCCCCTGCTGTCCCTGGTTCTATCTTTCCCCCCAATTCATTACAGCATTCCTGTAAGTTACAGAAACCGTCAATGGTACTGAATCCAGCCATTCATTACTTATACCCAAACGTTTTGCTCAGTGTGCTGTGCTCATCTGTGGTGTAATTTAGAATGTAATTTCACAGGCTGGTGCCTCACCTGTAGGGGGGCTGCCTGGGAAGAGAACGATAGTCAACATCTTCTTCCCGTGATGCTCTGGGCCACTCTTGCCTCCATCCCAGTAACAGTCAGGGGGTTGGTTTTTCTTAAGTGTGTATTAGCATCCTCAAAATTAATTACTGCAAAAAGATCTCTAGGATACAAATCTGTGAGCTGAATATTAATAATTCCATCTTGCTAGTGGCTAAACCAAGTCACAGAAAAGGTGACATGTTCTCTGTTAAAGACTGAATAAAGAACACATCTTCAGTGTCATGTTTAGTTTTCAACTAAAACGCTGGCCATTTCTTTCTCAAAATGAATGTGAAGTTCCTTATTTTTATATTTTCAAAGCTGAAATGAAATGGTTTTTCTCCAGCTAAGAACAAAACCACGTATGAACAGATTTGTACAGGACTAAGGAGTCACTCAGTCCAAGCACAGGTTTGTCCCACATCACATCCATCCAAGAAGTCAGCTACAAAAAAATGCACGAGCCCACTGACAAATCTCAGTCCAGAGGAACATGAATATTGCTGCGTTTCTATATCTTTTTAATTTGTATTTTGTGTTTCTATAGAACTACAGAAGGCTCACAAAACTTTGATGACTTAATAACTCGCATTAAGTTTTCCTCTATTATTTAAATACACTACAGCACTCTAATATTTATTTTCATTTTAGTTCACAGCTACATAGAAATATTTTACCAATTCATCCAATTTAAGTATAGGAAGTTCTTTTAATATTAGTGCTTCAGTATTCTTTATTATATTCTTCAAGGAGAAAAAGATTAAGCTATTTAAAAGCATCAAGACACAAGAACTAAACTGAATTTTGCACTATACCTCATTGTGTGGAGAACATGACAGAAAAATGCTTTGTTTAAAACACAAGTCACTTAAGATTAAAAATGCCTCTTAATATACATTTCCCTTATCAGCTCCCATCAAATACCTTAGTGGAACTTGGTTTTGCCTTCACTTATTTTCTAGTCACTGGTGAAAGCTGTAGATATTTCAAAAAGTGGTATTAGCATGTTTACAATAGCAAGAGTTAGCAGAATGTTTAGTACCGCAGGAAAAAAAAAAAGTAAAGATAGAATTGAGAATAAATATTTGACAACTTGAATAAGTCGTCTATCGAAGATCCATTTCATGATTTCCTGTAACATAACTCAACCTGCTTTGGTACTCCAGATTCAGTAAGGGCTAACACTGAATATTTCATGGGATGAAAGGCAGCTATCCAATTATTGGCCCAGAGAGTGAACTTCTGGTTTTTTTAATGCCCATCAGTATAAAAAATTGCAGTATTTTCTTAAACTGAAGTTTCTAACTACAAGGTTTCCATTGGAATACAGAGTAAAGTAGGTTACAGAAGGTATGTAAAACACGTCGAACAATGGATTCTGACTCAAAACATAAAATGTAATCTTGCATGAATAGATGGACAAAATTGATGTACCTCACTCAATTTTGTGAAAATTTATTTTTTACTGGAAAGAATCCCTTGCAAACCTGTGGCACATTTACATAAGAAGCAGCAGCTACACATAAACTCTTCTGTATGTTCTGCTGCAGCACCGTGTCCCTCTCAGACTACATCAGCCTTCATGGTGATCTCTCATCTGTATTTTTTTTTAAAAAGGAAATAATATGTTACTGACAGAGCAAGCCTACACATTTCAAAACCATAACTTGTATTTGTTTAAGGACACAACAGGGTGTGTGTAACAAAATCAAGTGAGAATCGTGAATGGGAAGATCTGAAGAGCAGAAAAACAATATCCACTATTGGTGTTGGAAAAAAATTATTTAAAATATTTTCATGCAAGAAAATAAAATTGCCTTATAAAAAAATTTGCTGTAAAGAAAATAAAGCATTCAGATTAGTATGCTCTTTACACAGCATGATTAACAACACAAAAAGAAAAGCTCAATTCTTACGCAAAATTACGAATTATTACAGTGTTATAGAACACTTTTATTAATGAACTTCCAAATACTAAAAGAAATGATAGAGAATATTAAGATTACCCAAAGGCTACTCAGCGTTAGAAAAGCGCTATCGCACCACAGAAACAGGGAAAACAAGGAAGGAGAGAAGAGGGTTTCTAGTGTTTCAGACCTGCTCACTTGCTAGTCCTTTTCCCTAGATCCCGGATACCTCCCATCTCCAGCCCATCCCGATATCAGTCCAAAATTATTTAATGCACACAAGAAACAAAAGAGGGAAAACACCCCACCACAGTAGCTACCTGAGCAACGATACAATTAAGAGTCACATAAGGAAGGAAAAGAAAAAGCAAATTCACACAAGCAAGCCAGACAAAGAGGAATCTTCATTTGCATCTAGGCAACATAATGTTCCTTTCTGGACAGGGCTGGAACAGTGCGTACACTGTCCGGCCATCAATCTTACTTCCACAGCATTGTCCTCTTTATCTCGGTACTGCAGCAACCCATAAAAATGCTAACATTCATAAATATTTAGAATATCCAATTAAGTGAAGTACACATGGCTACGTAATGATGACATTAAAAGGTAAATCAGCACACAAATGGGAAACATGGAACATTCAATACTTCGTTTCTAACAAAAGCTGCTTTTCAGAATCCTTTATTTCACCTTAGAGGCACTGATTTAAAACAGAACTTAAGCTCTTAAGCGTCCAAGTTTCTTTTAAAGCCAAATCTTGGGCTCCAGAATGCGAAATGTGATTTTGGTAACATTATTCTTGGTGCACGCATTAGGCAACTGTTCAGACATCTCCCTGAAAGAACTATAATTACATTTCTAGTGAAGTTACTATACTTACATTTCTAGTGAAGTCACTATACTGTCATAAATCACCAGCCATAACACACTATTTTTAAACCACTACTTTAAGCCAATGGCTTAAACCTTCCTCGAAACTAATGACCTCGAACTAAGCTCATTCTGCAAATAATGTTCATTAAAGCAGTAGAGGAAAAACTTTTGCATATTTCTAGCTCACCAAAATATCTAATATATATATGCATATTAAGAGAACCCCAAACAATTTATTTCCACCTTTATCTGGAAACTAGGTAAATACATATGGACCCACAGTGAACATGTGACCTCTCCCAAAGGCTCCTGTATATAGTACAACATCTAGTTTTTAAAAAACAAACAAAACCATAATAAAAACCCCACCAAAAATAACCCCACAAAACCACAACAAAACAAACACCAACAACAAACAAAACAAGTAACTTCATATTTAAGTTTTCATTATTAATCTTAAGCTTTTTAAGAAAAATTATATTGTCCTTCAAGTCCAAATAGCAGAGAATAAAACCTGTATTTTCAAGGTCTGTGAGAGGAGGAGGCTGAACAGTACATGTTCACACCCAAGTCCCAAGGAGTGTTTCTTGACACATTTTTGATAGGGAACAGACTTACTCAGTCACTATGAAGTTCTGCCTGGCAAGGAGTCTTGTCACACAGGATTTCTTTACTAGGATCAATGGTAGACAGTGAGCACACAGATGCTCCTCACCTCCCTACTGCCTTTCCCACATGGTTAGGGTAGCCCTTAGGTGTCTTGGTGGACTAAAGGCATTTTACTGGTCAGAACCACCTAGTTACACGACTGATCTGTCCACTACTTTCACCTGAGCAGCTACAACAGTATTACTGAGGAACAGAGTTCCTCTGCAGATTTGGATACTGAGTACATAACAGAAACTTTGTGCTGTACCAAAATCAGCTCAACTGTATTTAGAGAACCTTTAGTGGAAAGAGCACAAACAGGAAGGATCAGCAATTAGATACAAATATCACATAATTAGGACCCTCATCCCATCTCCCAGGTTGTCAGAGGCACTGCTGCAAGCATGGTAGATGTCTGGTTAAGAAAAAAGCATCTCTTAAAGAAAAATTTTTCAAATCAAGTTAATACATTTCTTTCCTTAAAATAACTATGTCTTGAAAAGAATAATGATGCACCTTACCATCCATTCAGATATAATTACATCCACTTTTTCCAAAGGCAGATCTACTTCTTCGATTCTTCCTTTGACTAATGTAATGATATTTTCAAGTTTATTTAATCTGCAAGTCACAACATGAAGTAGTTTATATTTCCAATTTTTGCTCTTGAGAGATATACTGATATCTATATTTTGCATTTCTCCCCCCAATAATTTTTAACTAGTCAACAAAGCACCAAAATATAATGTTCCTCTTCTCAGTTATATTTCAGAGGGAATGTTTCCGAGTTGCCAAAAATTGCAGCAGATCAAGCGCCAGGCAAAGATGGAAGACAGTAGATCTGTACAGCTCCAACATGCTGTGCATGCAAATGCGTAAGTTTCAGAAACCAGGAAAATAGAGAAGAGGACAATTTAAAACAACGTTCTTCTTTACTTAAGAGTTGCTTGTTTCCAGTTCTTCTTTGACCCTGTAGCAAGAGTCTGTAGTGATTAGAGCCCACTCATCACACTAGGGCAGCAATGGAAATTAACTTCCTTCCAAAGCTGTTTTGCACGACTTGGTTTTTTATTTAACAAAACTGTCTGCAAAGTCACTGAGAACAAACATTCCCTCTAGACCAGTACTGCAGTTATTCCATAATAAAGGCATCCTCCCCACTGTGATTTTGGCCCAAATCATCTGCATTGTTTACTAACTGCAGTAATCATGTAGTCCCTCATATGCCACCCTGTATGAGGAGAAAGTTTTTGAAACAAAATTTGCATGACAGTGAATTTACTAAATATGTAAATGCTTGCAATTCAGTATTTTTCTTCTCGGCAAACCATCTTAGTGTTTCTTGCACATATTGTAATCACAATAGCTATTCTTACAGAGGGCAGAAGAGTATTCCTACTGAAGAAATTTATCATTCCACTGCAGTTCTTATCTCTGCCCCTTCCCTCCCTGTCCTGATATCTTACTCTTGCATTCTGCCTGGCTTCTAATGCAGATGAGTAATGACATTAAAAATTCAATCTAAAAGACAATGGGAGACCGATCAGCATGAAAGGAGGGAAAGGAAAGGGTCAAAGGGCTACTTGAACATGTGGGACATTGGAAAGATCAGTTAAATACTCTACACACAACAGTCTTCTGGTAGAAAAGTAACATTTATCACTAATATTGTATTTAATGCTGTAAACAGAATTAAATCCAGAAGTTCAAACTGAGAAAGAAAACACCAAAGAGCTATCACCCAAAATGTCTCAAGGAGGACAAAACCAGATCTAGCGATAACTTTCTAAATAACCACACACAAAGACACAATTTAAAACAAAAGAGAGGAAAAAAGGACTAATTCGTTACATACTTGTTTTTAATTCTAATGTATAAAGAAAAACCCAAAACAACACATGTAATGTACACACTGCAGGAAAATCTGCTGCAATGAGGGAAGTTCAGACAGAAGAGATGATGTTCAGAACGTGAGGCCTGAGCCCGCTCTGACAGAGGAGGAGAGGACCAGATGCGCTCCCCCAGGGTCGTTTCCACCCTGTGCTATCCCGCAGCAATTTATGCGCCATGAAACATCTTTGCAGTTCTCCTGGAAACAACTTTTCTCAGTGACTCTGCAGACTGTGTGTGTGTGTGTGTGTGTGTGTGTGTGTCCACGTGCATGCTCTTAAAATGGGTTGGGGCTTTTTTGGATTGGTTCTTTTGCCACCCCCACACCTCTAAGTATAGGAAATATTCCAGTATAATGGTAATCACTTTCCAAACAGCATGAAAACTGGAGGTCAGTAGGTTTCCAAAGGAAGAAAACACACGGTAATGTCAGACAGCCCCTTAAATATGCCTGTGTACCAAGAACCTTACCAGAGAAATGTCTTCCAGAAGTTAAAATTGAAATGCCATATAAATCTGAAACGTATTTGTCAAAGAAAGCTATGTCTCCTTTTTGTGAGGTAAAACTGGTGAAAATTAACGCACAACAAGTTTTGAAAACATCACAGTTTCAATATGATCTAAAGTTGTTTAATTTCCACAAAAAAATTAAATTTTCTATAAAGTGTCTTTAGTTTTATAGCTTTCTATACTTTTACAAAATACTTTCAGAAAATCTCTATATACATACTTACTTAACTCTATATACATACTTAAATAACTTTTACTGGGTTTACCTAAAGCGGAACTGTTTCTATAACTCAAAGTAGTGCAGCCAAAAAAGCTTCTCACATCTCCTGGAACACGTCTCAGCTCTAACATCCACTGCGTAAGAAAGGAGAAGGGACTGGCAGCAGTCAGTTGGAGCCCCTGCAGCAAAGCAGCGCTGTCCCCATGCTAAAGTTAGGAGAAAGGTCTGGGTAACGTCCTGCCCTAACTACAGCCCTGTTTTAATTACTCTGACTAGAGGGAAAAACAACTTTCACTGCACATCAAAACCTGGGTTAATTCTTCAGACACAACATATACTGAGTGCTAAGTGATCATTAACTAGTAGCAGCATTTTAATAACTTCTTACAGCAATATTTACCATGCTTCTCCTGGAAGTTTTCCTACCTAATGATGTCCATGGCCTGATAGATGATTTCAGATTGGTCGACACCTAACACTTTCCTCGCACCTGCTTTGGCAGCAAACATGGAGAGGATTCCAGTTCCGCAGCCAACATCCAAAACAACCTGAAACAAACAAATGGAAGTAAAGATAAAAATCTTATCTCCCTTGTTATATGTTAGAATTTGGTATCTCACAGTTTTATAAAAAGCAAACAGCAGCATCAAGTCTCACTATTGTATAGTCAAGCCAAACTGTATCCACACCCTCTACTACCTTTTACAGACAATGAAGCAGACTAGTTCTAGCCACCAACTAACACACAAAAAATCACAGAATCATTTAGGTTGAAAAAGACTTTTAAGATCATTGAGTCTAACCGTTAAATCTAACTGCCAAGTCCACCACAAAACTATATCCCTAAGCACCACATCTACACATTTTAAATCTCTCCAGGGACAGTGACTCCACCACCTCCCTGGGCAGCCTGCTCCAGCACTTGACAGTCCTTTCGATGAAGAGTTTTTCCCATCTACACCTCCCTGGTGCAACCTGAGGCCATTTTCTCTCAGTCTATCTCGTTACTTGCGAGACCAAGCCCCGCTTTCAGGCAAGTGCAGAAATATTTTACAAAATACTTTAAGGCAATACCTTACTGTACTAAAAAATTTTCTAGCTTCTGAACTATTCAGCATTCTTGCTGTGCCGCAACAAAAGCTTGCATATGCATTTTTAAATTTCACCTGACAAATAGCATCCAAGTACTTGAACACTCTGCACATTAGGTCTGCTTGCCTTCCCTTGTGTACCATTCTGTGAGTTCTGATGACGGATACAGAGCAAGGAATCATGAAGCCAGCGTGAATAAAAATAGCAATTTATCCTTAGCAGCACAGTGCAAGTGAGTTTCTGCTGTGGTGTACTGGGAAGCAATGACTGAAGAGTTGACTGCCACCTGTCTTGACAAAGCAACTTACAATCTGGAATCAGACTAAAAAACATTAGTGTGATGAGTTTTTTACAGCATCTTGTGCACGGAAGGTGCAGTGAGAGTTACTTGCTACGCTTTCAACTCTTTGCAGCTACGTTCCAACTCATTCACGAGTTGTATACAAGTATGTAATAGCTACAGAAATCCCTAGGCTGAAGTCTTCCCGAGACAGGAACAGAAAGTAAAAATCAACGTTCTTGCAGCTGCTGAAATCTCACGTCCCCTAGCATCATCTATTCTACCACTTCACCCACGGTAGTTCGCAAAATTGCTGAGCCATGAGAGCTGGAAGTCAGAGCCAAAAATAAACTTGTGTGAAAAAAATGTTCATGATGTACAGTCGCATGAAAGAGAGCAATCACCACAAATTGGAAAAAAATCAAAACAGACACCACTTTGGACAGCTGCCGTGGTCACTTAAAAACCCAGATGGAACTCATCTTGCCTTAGGCAGGGGATGGGGGTGGAGAAAAAGGCACAGGAGAGAAAATACACAAGCTGGAATACATCTGAGGAAAGGACAGACAGGCAGAATGATCACCAATTAACCTCAGGACAAGAGTCCACAGCTAACGCATTCTTGTGGTGATCACATATGGTCTCTCACCAGAGATCTGGAGCAGCTGGACTGGTGATTTGACTACACCATAACAGACCGCAGCATCAAATCCTTCTCTGCATCTAATCAAAACCAATATTCTACTTCTAGTAAGAGAAAAAAATCGCTTCGAGTTCAGAAAAACAGGAGGTCAGCTAATTTGGCCAATTAATTCATTCAATGAATTTTTAGCAGGAACAGCAGAAATACAAAAGGAGGATCGTAACTGCGCAGGGGTCATAACCACAGTCAGTGCAATCTCTCCCCACTGCAAGTGAAATACTAGGTCCTGTTTCTAAATCCCTTCCTAATAACCTAATCTGGAAAGACTAAGCAACATTAATTGAATAAATCAGTTGTGTACAAATTCCTCCCCAGCTCTAATCACATGGTGCTTCTAGGTTGTATCAGACACAAACTGAAATTCACTTAAATTCTGGCAAAGAGGCCCTCTCAGATGGATTCCACTTAATATATGGGACAAGAAAGGCTCGACTTAACCCCGCCAACATAATTAATGAACATCCCCACACGGCACACAAAACAATGACAATAGCGATCAGCACTTCTGTTATCAGCACTTTGCACCCTCCAGCAGTTGAACAGCAGTCTACCACCCAATAAAGCTGGAGTACATTAAATCAGGTCTTGTCAGTGCAATATTCCATTCCTAAAGCTACAAAGTAGCCTGCCCAAAGGGTTTCTATCACTCAAGAAAGAAGAAAGCAGAGAGATTACTGTGAGCTTTTTTACCTACCTTGTCCTTGAAGATATGTGGGTTTTGATAGATGAAATCACGATAGCTTTCTGTACGTACTTTATCCTATGATATAAAGAGCAAAACATGTTCACTCTTTTCTACTTATGTACATCATCTTGTTCAAAAGTGCTGAAAAACTTGGCCTAAACATGTTTTGTGGCTACTGTACCCAAAAGGGCTCAGCAATCATGACACCCCCTGTATGACATTCTTTCAGAATTTATTCTTAGCAAATGAAGCCAGTCAAGCCTCTGGAGGAAAACTTAGAAATTAGCTTTCAGTTTCCTGACCTGCTGCATTTGATTTTGGGTATTTCAAAGCTCTTAATACCACCTTATCACTTCCCAGGAACAACAGTAACATAGTGGCAATACTGCATCAACTTTATGTAACAATCTTCTACACAATGGGAAAAAGTTGAGTCACAAGATCATACAACATTTTGTATCATTTTAGTTAGTGACACTCCTGTGACATACAGATTCTCTCAAAAAAGGTTATGGCTCAGAATAACCTTTTATATTTCTGAGCAAAATGAAAATCTGAAAACTGCACGCTGAAGCTGTAGAGTCTATTCTCTGGAAAACCAATATAATAAATAAACAAACTTAACTATAAAACAACATGACCTGAGAAGCTGGAATGTTTTCAAGCATATAACTAAACATTTATAGTATCGTAAATATATGTGAGCTAGCAGTATAGCTCAATCTACCAGTAAGGTAATCTATTAAAACACTGATTCTCTTAATATACATCAGCAGGTACACAAATTTACAGCCAAGCATAGGTTTTGGAATTGTTGCAGTTCAAGCATCAGAGCAAAGTAAAAGAAAAAAAAAATAAGCAATTTTTATCTAGTGAAGACAAGTCTATAAATAAGAGTATAAAGTATAAAATTCAAGTGCTTATACTTAATTTTTTTTTTACTATGGCAGGTAATTATTTTAGGAACAATACAGAAATGAAACAAATTTTTCTCTAGTGAGAAAAAAAAAACGAAAAATGAGATCAAAACCAAAGGATATATTCAGAAAAATTGTGGAGACAAAACAAATTATTTCAAACCTTGAAAATCCAGTTTTAAATTTAGGAGGATTATCACTCACAGAGCCCAAATAAACAGTTAGGGATGATTTTATAAAATTGCACTTAAAAATGATATATAATTAACATGAACAAAAGGAGCATGATGTTTTAAAACCATATTGGTTTATTGTGACGTTATATCCAGAGCAACTCTTTTGCGTACTTCACCTCTATTCGCAGTATATAATAGAATCTGCTGAAATGACCAAAAAAAGTTTTAAAAAATAAATCGGAATGTTCAGCATCAATCAACAAAGCAGTCAGCTGGAAAGCTTTCAGCCTTACACCCTGCCCACTCACATTGCCTCAGCACTGCCCTGACGCAATCAATACAATTCCAGCTGCTGTCTCCACTACACGCACTGCTGCTCCAGCAAGGCACGGGCACTCACTTCACACCCCTCTGTTCATCAATTCCCCTCTCTCACACACCTTTTCCATTAAATGTTTTTTTTTTTTGGTTTGTTTTTAAATAAAAGGTAAGAAAATTTATAAAGATGACAGTCCAGAAATTATCAAGCAAAAAAAGAACAAGAGGAACACCAGCCATTTGGCCAGTGTTAAGTAACAATACTCTTTTGTCATCTCTGAAGTATGTGCAGAAAAAAAACCAAACAAATTGAAGCTTCATCATACTGCCACCAAGCATAAGAAAAAAAAATGTTTCAAAATTGAACAGTGTCACAAACAGACTTAAAATTCAGACAGTAGGGCTCCTTTCTTAAAAATTTCAGTGTAGCAAGCCACTACATTTATAAGGTAGACATTAAACAAAAAATAAAACCAAAAGTGAATGCCCAGCAGACAGGAGAAAACTCAGTGCACACATGGCAATTACTTTCCTATGTTTAGCAAGGCCAAAAGTCATCTTAAAAGCATTATGACAAATACTTCCTGAAAACAATAAAATGCAACTTTGTATCAATCTGCTTGTGCAGATATGCATAATTATTATAACCTTCATTAAGAAATGGAAAGCCTTTTCATTCTGTAGCCTGAAACACTGCAAACACCACCTTCACACAACTGCAAACCCAACCTTTTACCATTTTTACTTATCTTCAAGACTTCAATTACATTTCTCCAGACTATACATTTTGGAAAACATTTTTGTACTTCCGCAGACATCTCTGCACTTCTGTAAAATCCTCCCCTTCAAATTAGCCTCATTCTTGTACTATTATTAACGCAGATTCATGTGTATTTCTACACTGGGGCTACTACATGATTTACAAAGCAGAAAACTATACGGTACCTGTATGGACAAAGTTAATTCACAACTCTGTACTCTATCTTACATTAGGCAAGATTTGTATTTATTTTTGTCTTAAAACAAAACTGTTTGACCTTTGCAATAATGGTATTTTCTCTGACAGAAAGCACTAAGAGGATTTTGATTTGCATGTCTATTAAGTTCTTAGGGACTGGTGTTGTTTTTATTTTGGGTTTTTTTCTGGGTAAGTTAAAAGGGCATACACAGGTTTGCCTTTGAAGAATTTTAAGCATTATTTTTATCATATAAAAGGAGCATACAAATTCTCCAGCTGTTCCATGTCATCAATACATTTGAACTGTGCACAAATACCAACAATTTCTGTTCATCTAGAGCGACAGGAAATCAAAATATTGGAGCAATGGTTCTGCCTAACAAATTTCAGTCATTAGGAAGACATAAAGAGAAATATTCAGTCTGTAAAATGTTTTATCCTTTATCTTTTAAGTATCCAGGAAAAAGTTGCTTTTGGCGAGGTACAGTGGTGAGGTATAGATATTGTAATATATCTTCAACCATATCTGTAAATAATTTTATATCCCTAATGCCTCCTGTAAACAGAATTTATACAAAGGAAATACAACTGAAAAAAAGATCTCTCGACCTAACTCTTAGGAAAAAGCTATCACGTATAGAAAGGGTTAAAAATGCAGCTGCTCTGCAGTATATTTATGGGCACACAGCCCACTTCACTCCATCTTTACTCTTTAGTCCTACTAAGACGCAGTCAAGATGACTTTCTAACCTTTAGCATCTCTTCGTGTATCCCATAATGCCCATAGGAGCTGAAGTAAACACCATCCTCATCCTCCTGAAGGTCGGCAATGGTGCTGCACGATGATCTGCTCCCGACATCCGCATTCATCACAAAATCCTGCGCAAACTGCCTGCAATCAATTTGAAAAGGACCCTTGAGACATGTTTAGGGAACCATGAAATCGAGGACGGGGGGAAGGGGTTGAAAGCCATCAGGAGCCTGCACCACATCGCCAACAGGAGCAGGGATCAGGGCGCACACCCTCCCTCTGCCGGCACCCCCCCGCCTGCTGCACTGCCGCCACCCTCCGCCAAGGAAACCAGCACCCAGCAGCAGCGAAACGTCCCCACTTCGTTTCTGCTTTGGAGGAGGAATTGGGTCCTTTTGCACCTGATAACACCACAAGTGTTTTAGGCTGCGCATCGCAGATGAGCGCTCAGCCAACAGCGCAAGAACTACAAACTGCACAAGGCCGCACGGCCAGGTGGAGGCGGAAGAAGTACTTAAACTGAAGCACTCGAGTGGGAATACATCAGAGCTTAAAATTCCATTTATTACTTTAATTTCATGCTACTTGTTTTTCCTCCTCTGTGGCCCTGCATCCCTAACGTGCACACTGTCTTCTCACTTCTCACAGCAGTTGTGATGACATAATAGCCAGATCAAGGGGTTTAGCATGAAAATACCAAAACTGACAAGTAAACAGCTCATACAACACACACAGTGAAGTGAGAAAACTATCATGCTTCAGTCAGATGATAGTCCTCCAAAGTCTACAGTCCAACAGCAAAGCTTGCATCCTAGACCATTCCGAAGCAGTCAAGGCTCACCTTTAACAACGCTCATATGCACTTAAATAGGAACCTAACATATAGAAGCTGTAGGTAACATCTCATTACCATACCATCCTTACAGAACAACAAAAACCAAACATGTCAAATACTTCTCTGCTTCACTAGCTTGGATGAGGAAGAGGAGGCAGTAAGAGAATTAGTATTAAGAGCTCATCAATATCGGAAATTTCCTATATTTGCTGACATAAACCTAGTGTCTGGATCTTACGTTTAATATTACTCTTTACCATGGAAGTCTATCCTTACTTTGAGATAAATACCAAAATGATAAAAATTGAAACTTAAGAAAAATAGATTCAATGACGCACAATTAATTACAATTTTGTAGACTTTAAACGCAATTTTAATTTTAAAATTATTTAACGGGATGCAGCCTATACAAGCAACACAAGCACCAAACAAACTCTAGCTGCCCTCCCATAGTGTTAATCAATAAAAAACAACATAAATAAAAACAGATACCACCATCTCTAAACAAGGAACAGATTCAAAAATTCAGGATATACAAGTCACGCTTTTAAAGATTTATGTTACATCAAGGTGTAACATGATGTGTTACATCAGAGGTGACATGATTTAGAGAATTGTTACCATTTGTAAGGGGAAACGAAAGGTCACTAGGCCTCCAGCTACCTGCCTTTACATGGTACCCCTTTCAATTCTCATAATTCTACAAGTATACTCAGTCTAGCAAATTTGGAAAAACATTTCTGCAAAAATTATTTCATACTCAACCAGTGAGTGTCCTCATACTGCTATTATTCCAGAGCTCAGAAGGCAATAATCTCCATGGCAGTGCACGACTGAACCTGAACAGGCAGACATTAAAAAAAAAAAATATTTTTTTTTTACCACATCTTAGAGAGGGAGACCTTCAGAATACAACTGTGTGGCAACTAAAAATTTACAGTCATACTTAGTCTCCAAAAAAAATCTCTGTGGATAGGTATAGCATGAGAAAAATCCTGGATCTAACATTTTTTTTTTACTCCAGAAATCGAAGCAGCCAACCAGCCTGCTAAATACCAGCATAAACCTATTTCCACAGCAGAAAACAATACAAAATCAGGTTACGGTGGCATAAGGTCTATACGCAACTCCTGCTCCACATCAGACTTCCAAGCTATCTTTATTTTGCAGAGTTTTACCTCAAAGCTAACATCTGCAGGTGGTCTCTTTCAGTGGTATAACCTCCAGCATGAGTTACTATCGCTACAAATAGGAGCATTTAGACTACTACAATGCAACTGGATCATCTGTTCATAATTTAAAACTGTGCTGCTTCATCAGACCTACATCTGGTTATTTTTGCTGCCAGCTGATCCCTGCTGAATTCAAGAGACTGCACTGACAACAAAAAATTAAAGGCTCCATTTTACAACAGCAGAGAATTTGATACACTAACCTCAAAAAGAAACCTATATAAGCCTGACAGAAGCTTAGAAAAGAAGTTTTAGCTGATGACCTGAAAAGGTTTTGCTACTTTTCAATGAAAAAGGGAATGAGTAAGACAAGAAAACACAGAGGACAAAAAGAAAGTTTTTCAAGTACAGTGACAAATTTCTTTCATTCTTACTGTTTATGACAAATTAATGCATAATTAATGCACAGATATCAAAAAAGAGCTGTATGCTATAAAGTACGATTTGAAAAAGTTAAACTGAGCTGCAGACAGAACCCTTCATTTTTAGCATGTATAACTACTCATTGCTGATCCCTCTTTTCCATTGTGTGCATCTTCAATGCTTAACTTCTTATTTAAATGACTAAAGGAAAAGTATCTGAAAAACCAAGAGTAGTCTGAAACAAAATACACATTTCTGTGCTACGTACTTATTTAGCTTTCCTTAGCATACTTGGCTCTTCCAATTTATGTGGGTTTTGCGTAGTTTTCACTAATCATCAACAAAACTTCTACATCTACACGGTAAAAGTCAAACCTTTTGACTGTCAAGTCAAAAGTCCCAATACATGAGTTTCATTCCATAGTTACACGCTACCATTTCTTTGAATTTCTGCTGGTCTTCAAACACAAACATCTCATTGCATTGAACACAGGAAAAAAGCCCACTTACTTCATTTTTTGAAGATCATCTTGTGCTCTAGCCAAGGCTGCTTCTGCAAGCCTTGCTCTGTGTTCTGCATGTTTTAGTTGTCCAAGGAGCATCCTGGTATCGTTTAAACCATTAGAAGGCAAAACATTTCCAGGTTCACAAAGATCTTCAATATCTGATGAAACGGGGAGAGAAAAAAGAAACACCTACCAGTCACACACTGCTTCACAGCAGCTCATAAACTTACAAAGTTTTCAGTGGTGCTACTTTTGGCTTTGGATCATTTGTAGCAGTAGTCTGTTTTACAAGAATATGATAGGTCTAAACACAGAACACAATCCTACTCAGTAAAAGCAAGTATGCTAGAAGCAAGCTCCAAGCTAATAAAGCAAATGAATCCAGAATTCAGGCTTCTCGAAATATCAGTGTTTGATGACTGTTAACAAAGATATTAGGTTTAGACTGTAATTTAAGTTAATTACAATCCTATCCTCTATATTTTCCAGTTCGTTAAACTTAGGTCAAAGGTGATAGTATAAGGTAAGAAGTTATGTAAGTTTAAAAATTTTTAATTACAAAGTAACACTTAATTTTCCACCCAATTCCTTGGGCTTTCAGAAAGCTTATGAACACACAACTCAAAAGAGCGTAAGCAGAACTAATCTAGATGAAACACTGCTACCAAACCTCATTCTCAGCACCATGTCCTATTCACCTCTTGCAAAATTCAACTGGTGATTTCAACAGATGTCAGTGAAAAAATAAAGTGGTGCTACTCCAGTTTTGTGTGTAGGAAGAAGTTACCGCCAGCTTAGTGGGCAAAAGACTTCTTTAAAACAAATATATCTATTCCTTTCAAGCCTTTAGCAACTACAACAGCACCTCGAAGTATCTCAAAAGTCTATAGCTTGAGCAAAGAGTGCACACTAGGCAGAACTCACACAGTGAAATATGGAATCCCTGAACTAACCAACGAATGTCCTCTATCACTCCTTATTTCTGCAATCATTCAGCAAGGCTCACTTCGAAAAGTGCAAAACTGCATTTCAGACTGTAAAGAGAAGAAAAAAAATCCACAAGTCCTAAGTACCTCGTGGCAAAAGAAAGACGTATGATCAAGTGCAAAACAGAAAGAGAGCGGGAGGATCACGGGCAGCAAAAATCAAACTGAATTCTCTCAAGACTACATGATGAACTGTCAGGAGAGAGAAACTCAGGCTGCTTGTACCGATCGCTAGAACGACTAAAGAAACAAACTCTTCTACGCAACTGTAGTATCTTACACTGGGTTGGGTCTAAAATAGAATCATAGATTCATTTGGATTATAAAAGACCCTTACATCTGATTTTAAATGCCTACATTTAGGTGTTTTAAAAGCTTCATAAACCTCCTAGCCAAGTTTGGGCGGAGTACCTATTTGACCTGCTTAATTACTACATACAGCCCCTCTACTATGAGCATCATATCTGCAATAATTGAATGCAGATAATAAACAGGGCTATGGAAACCCCAAGTCATTAAAAAACCACCATATAATGTGTGGTAAAAATTACACAGCATGACTTAATGTCATGACTTCAGCTAGTTTGTAGATTTTCTCATATCTAAGTCAATTGAATAACACTGATTATGCTTCATATCACGTGAACTCTGCCAGTATCACATTTAACCCACAACAAGGTACCGTCATACGGAAATGTACTTATTTACCAAACTGAAGTAGGAGATCATCTTCTAGCGCTGGTTTCAAATATTCTTCTCCTTCCCAAGGCAGTGGGCTGCTGAGAGAACTCAAATATGCTCCTGTTGGTTTCTAGACAGAAGAAGGGTATGTAAGCTAAGTTTCTTTGAAAACACCAGCCCTTTGACTTCACTCAAGAAAATAAAGCATTAAAGTAGCTTTGTAGCAAAGGCTAAGAAGATAGTACTTTAAAGGATAACTAGTGAGAACAACGAAATGAACTTCTGGCTTTTGTTCTGGCTCTGACAACAGGTACTCTCCTCAGCCTACAAACACTACAACCACGAGGATCAGAGAACAGCATATCATCACACCTAAAAGCTAGCCTGGGTCCCAAAGTCTAGGAAGCTACAGGCTCAAGGAATCCATACAAGCAGTAAAGCACAGCACATTGATAGACCCTGAAGGATACCTGCACGATTACCCTGCGATCAGGAACCAAGCCTACTCAGGTGTCTGACTACATCAGACCCCTAGCTGACAACAGCGCTAAGCAATAAAGCCAAGGCACCAATCGTGCCACCCTTTACCGGAGCAAGACAGCTGAGTCAAAGGCCAAAATAAATGAACAAAATAACATGATACCACATAGCGTAGGCTTTTTAAAAGTTTGAACACCCCCTTTTGGAAACAAAAAAATTCACATTAATTAAGTATAATTAGAAGGAAAAGAACTTCATATCTCAACCAACCAACAGCCACTTTAATGTCTGTGATTTCTTATTTCTAGAAACATAATAAAAAATTTCACACAGTTACCAAAAACAGGTAAGTTAAAAGCACAGAATCTTAATTCCCCATTCTCCAAACGTAGTACAGAAGTAGTATGTGGCATACCTACCTCTGACCTAACAAAGTTTATTAGTTTAATGTAGCCATAAAAATCAAGTTCTGGAAAAAAAGAAGGGGAAGGGAAGGGAAGAGAGAGAAAGTACACTTAGATTACAGAAAACCACACGTATTTTAAAATTGTATGAATACAAATTGCTTGTTCAATTGACCAGCTTTCCCCTTGGGGTGTACATCAGCATCTAACACAGTCTTCCTGTCTTATGTCTGCCATCTGCATTGTTCTTTTCCTTAGGACTAAATGAGGAAATTCTCACCCTCAGGACAAATACATTTGCCACTAATTAAGAATGAAACACACACAAATGTGAATTATGAGCAGGGATTTGGCAAGTAACTGCACCAGGACACATTTATCTCCTACTAGCTCCCTCACCTATACTTTACGTTGTTGTGCTCTTTTGTTCATATTTTCAGTTTTCTGCTTAATAAATTGTAAATTGATCCTATTCATCAAGGATACACACCAACATTGATTTAAAACTGCAACCTTGCTCAGAAGTAGCAATAGCTTAGATATAATTATGTGTTCTCCTTGAGAACAGTGAGGGTACAGCACAAACTCAAAATACGTTCCATTGGACTTCTGACGTGAAACAGGTCAGATTTTGCACGCAGATTTCTAAATCCTTCATGTAGTTCCCATCCTCTTACCTTTTGCTCCTTTTTAGTGCACTCTTAAAATAGCGTTCCTCCAATACTGTTCCCCTTCCCCTACTTCGCAATTCTCCTCTAAATGCAGTAAGACATGGATTTCAGGCTCAGTAATCCAGCACTTATCTAACTACATCAAAGTCCCAAGATGTACTGGACAAACACCCTCCTGTCTATATACCTTCCTTCAGGGGCAAGGGATATACTTTCCTGTGATCACTTAAGTCAATGTAATCCAAGACTGCAAACAGCTGCTTAAAAGACATCAGAAGTACAGCCCAGTTACCTGACTCTTGGTGGATACATTCACTCTGGTCTCTCCTGACTTCCTGAGCCCAGCAACAGCATCACTTGTCAGACAAGAACTCCCAATAGACCAGGTAAAGAGTATTCCTGCATGCAGTGGGCTGGCTCAGGTCAATCAAACAGGTGCTGGGGACTCAGCATGAGCCAGAAAATATTGAAGTTACTTCTGATACAAGTCAAGTGCTTTACCGGTAGATAAAGCATACCACAAACAACCAGCGTAAAGATAACCTATGAAAACTTTCTTCCAATAGTTTATTTTGTTCAGTCCTGGAATCTTCAGCTACACCTGGGAAACTCCTTAGAAACAAGCTAATCTTTGTAATTTATTTTAAACCAGATGCTGATACACGCAAGGAAATGACAGCTTATGAAAGAAACTTACCATGTTTCTTGATCACATCACAAATGTCAAACTGATGCTCAGTTTTGCAGTGGGAGAATACATCTTCAGCAGAACTAAATGACCTGTAAGTAGCAAATTATTAAACATGCAGTATTAATACGCTCAGAAGTTGTAACACTCATACGAGTTTTTTAGGCTCTGTTCTGACCTGCTGGGCAATGTGTTTGGAACACATAATTTTTATTTGTAAGAAAGGACAAACGAGCACTTTACCTACCTGCATATCTCACAAAGAAGCTTTTACCTTGTTTCCAAACATTTTGCAACAGAAGGCAATAAACACAAAAGTTTTGTTTGGCAAAACCACAAACCCTGTCAACTTCCAAAACAATCCTGAGAGCACTAAATCTGAAATCTAAGAACTATATGTGTGGTTCCATACTTACAGACACATGAGGCAAGCTGACCAGATAGGTCTGCCGCATCAAAATAGAAACTTTTGTTTGCTGACAGGGAAAAAAGATGAGAGAATTCAACAGAGAAGCTTCCACAGCGCTTCAGGGTGAGGAGAGAACTACCTGCTTTCCACTACTCCCCCCGAAAGCATTTAACCAACCTCTGGCTCTACAGAAGCCGCCTACAAGATCAAGCAGCTGCAGAGCACGGTTACAAACTCCGTGTTCATTACTTTCTGAGGCGGCTGCCTCCCCCAGGGGTTTGGGCGCTCGCATCCCCCCCAAAAGGGGCTCCGCGGGCAAAAAGGGGCCCCAAGAG